CACATCCAAACTCGCCATTCATGACAGGCACGAAGGATCGTCCAATAGAGGAAAAGACACCTCTTCCAATAAGACAAGCTTTTGTATCTCGGCAAACGCACAATGTTACTGGCACTGATGGGTGCCTCGAGAAGCTGTTCCTGCAGGCAACCCCCGGTCGTCTCAGCTGCTGATGACCTTAACACTCTTGCGGTGCCTGACGATCATCTGCACCAAGCTTCAATCGTCCCGAACTACTGTCCAGTTTCTAGATCATAGTGGGGCTGAGGGATGAATGGTATTGGACTGTTACACTGCAAGGCAGAGTGAAACCGCATCCGGTTCCGTGCGAGTATCAGAGATCAGCCCAACTTAGAACAGCACGGACGCCTCAACATGGGCTCATGCAATCAAATAAGTACAGCTGAATGTCCAAATCCAAGTTTTTGGATGATTCGCAATTGTCTTTCACGTGTTGAACATTTTCATTCTGCCATTCCTTTCTTCGACCAGCTCGGCCTGGACAAGATTCATCAACGATGCACATCTCTCTCGTTATGCTGTTGGGCGGGATCGGGGCGCTTGCGGCCCCAAACATTCCCCGGCAGGCACCACCAGCTCCAGCTGTCCCGCTGCGCATAATGGCACTTGGTGCGTCTGTTACTTTCGGTACAGGCTCTACGACCGGCAACAGCTATCGCAAAGACCTGCAAGACCTTTTGGTTGCCCAGGGCATGACTGTATCTTATGTCGGCACGAGATCAAATGGCAACTTTGCAGACAACGCTGTTGAAGCAACCGGGGGGTTCAAAATCGCCCAAATTGCGGACTCGGCAGACAAAGCCGTTCCCATGCTGAAGCCGAACTTGGTCCTCGTCGATGCCGGAACAAACAACTGTAATAAAGGCGGGGAGGTTCCAGATGCTGGAGCCAACGTTACAGAGATGATCAACAAGATCTACCAACAAAGCCCCGGATCGACCGTAATCCTAACATCGATCCTTGCCAACAAGGTCCCGGAGCAAGATGCGTGCCGTGTGAAGATCAACGAACAATACAACGCCGTGGCAGCTCAGTTTCAACAGTCCGGTGCGAAATTTGGGTTCGTTGATATGCGCAGCCCAGATGCTCCAGCACTTAGTGACTTGAACGACACGAGGCATCCCAACGATGGAGGCTATGTCAAGATGGCAAATGTATGGGCCAAAGGAATTCAGGAGGTCATGGCTAAGGGATTTGTTACTGCTCCCAGCTGAGAGACAAAATCATATTGCCTATGCTCTTGGAAAATTGGGAAGATTCAACGCTACACCTAAACCAAGTCTATTTAAATAAGTTAATTAAATAGCTAATTAAATTAAGGCTATTTAGAGATTTAAATAGCTAAGTTACTATTACTATTAACTTAGTTAACTTAAATAAGTTAGAGGTTAACTAGAAAAAGGGAAAATCTAACCTCTAAATTAATTATAATTTTTAAAAGATTTTTTAAAAAATAAAAAAAACCTACTTAGATATTTTAGTACTTAGCTTTATTCTAATTACTTAAAGTTATAACTTTTATAACTTTTATACTTAAAATAGATAACTTAAACTAGTTTTAAATTAATATCTCTATAATTACTTATATAGTAGACTTATTACTAATTTATTAAGTTTTATTATAATATATTTTTAAAAAAAAAAAGGGTAAGTAGTTATAGATATTAGTTTAATAATACTTTTAAGTTAATAAGTAATAAAGTAGAGCTAAATACTTCTTAATAATAAAACTAGTACTATTAAGAAGTATTAAAAGTATTAGAAATATACTTTTTACTATACTACTAAATTAATATATTTTTAATCCTCTTATTAGAGCTTAAAAAAAACCTATTTTTAACCCCTATATTAGTTCTTAAAAATAACCTTTTTTTAATATTATTACTAATATTACTACTACTACTACTATTATTATTACTAATTAATCTCTTAAAGCTCTACTTATCTATATACTTTTTTAATACCTCTATTAATATTTTACTTACCTTTATAATACCTCTACTTAATATTAGCTAATATCTTAATTATTTTATTAGTATTACTCTATTATTAATACCTTATAGTATTACTCTATTATTAATACCTTATAGTATTACTACTTAACTATATACTATTTTAACTATTAATAATATATTAAATACTAACCTAAGTATAAGAGACTCTCTATAAGTCTTATTTTAGACTAAATAAAAGAATAGAACCTTCTTTAATACTAAGTTAATCTTAAAGAAGAGGTTTTATAGTTATATCTCTTAGATTAGAAATAAAGGCTTTTTTATTTATAAACTTCTATTTAATAACTAACTTAATATATTACTTATAATACTTACTTATTTTTATACTAATACTTTATAAAAGTAATATATATTAAGTCTACTATTATTATAATAAAGCTAATAGTATTAATAAGTTTTTAATACCTCTATTATAACTACTATTATTAACTATCTTAAGATAATATACTATATTAAGTAAAGAAGTTCTAAAATTAGAGGTAACTTTAATAATATAAACTTACCTCTAAAACGCTACTACTCTACTATAGTTACTATACCTAAGTTAAAAGTCTACTAAATTAAAAAGCTTACTATAAGCTACCTTATTAATATAAATAACCTATTTATAATATTTAGTAACTAATATATTTAGTATATCCTCTATCTATTTAATTATAATATTAATAATTAAGTCTATTAATCTAAAGAGAGTATAAAACTTTAATTTAATTACTTATATATATCTAAGATAATATAGATTAAGTAGGAGATATAGGATACCTTTAGCTAAATATATCTATTATTTAACCTATAGACTTCCTCTAATTAATATATAATTATTACTATTTTTAGCTATTTTATTAATAAATTAAGTAAGTAGATATAATACCTCTTAATTTTCTATTATTAAAATAATACTTATTTAGGTGTTAATATTACCTCTACCTTATATATAGTTATTAATAACTTTAGAATACTTAACTAAGTTAGGCTTATAGTTTATAATAATATTATAAATAATAATACTTATATTAAAGCGCTCTACCTATCTATCTTACTATTATATAATAAAAAAGATACTATCTATTAATAGATTTAATACTATAGTTATATCCTNTAATACATTTAATACTATAGTTATATCCTTAATTTAGTTAGTTAAGCTATTATTTATAATATTAATTAAAATACTTTTGAGGATTAATCTAAGTATTTTATTAATATTAGTAACTTAGAGGTAGATATAATACTTTAGAAGAGTAAGAAACCTATTAATAAACTCTATAATATTATTAAGTATATTAAATTATTACTTTAATATATAGAGAAGTTCTTAGAATTTAGTAATAAAGCTAATAATTAATTTAATATATTTATAATCTTTAAAGAGTTATCTTAAAAGCTTAATTTAATACTAAATAATACTATAAAATAGAACTTAATATATATAATAATTTAAAAGGCTTTATTTAAATATAGCTAGATTAATACTTTTATATATAATAATAAGCTTCTTTATAATTTAGTAGATTATCTCTCTAATAAGGATTACCTCTCTAATAAGGATTAATATATCCTTATTAAGTTTAATAATATTCTTAAGCTTCTCTATAAATAGATTAAATAATATAAAGGTTAGAGTAAAGGTAATAAGTATAGCTAATTCTAAGAGGTTTTTATAAGTATAAAATACTTCTTAGATAAATTAGAGGATTAATAGAAGTTATATAATATCTCTATTAATAAAAAGATTAATTAAATAGCTTTATAGAGTTAATTATTATAGTTAACTTAGTATATAAAGTTATTATAGTAGTCTTTATATTAATTAGTAGTATCCTTATAAACCTTATTAATTAATAATATCCCTATTTATACTTACTCTAAGTATAAGTCTTAAGGTTTTTAAAGTAAGGTTAACTTTAATTTTAATATTTACTTATATATCTCTATTATTAATAGTTAAAAAGTACTTAATAAGTATTATATTAAATTTAGAGAGTTACTTATCTATATTATTACTATAATTTTATACTTTAGGTGAGACCTATAATAGCTTAAGTAGTATTAAGATATACTAGAAATAAGTTTTTAAGTTATTAATACTAAATAAGGTCTTTATAAGTACTAAGAATAGTAGTATTATAAAATAGTTTCTATTTTAATATCTCTAATACCTCTAGAGGGTTTTTTTATATTAATCTTAATAGTATTATATTATAAAAACTCTAAATATAGCTAATAGTTAATTAGTAGAACTTAGGGGATTATTAATAATAAAACCTCTAAGTTAAATTAATACTATTATTTATTAATTATTTAACTTATTAATAACCTTATTAAGTAGTAGATTTTATATTATTAAACCTTTTTAACCCTTAGTAGACTTACTATTAATATCTTTACTATCCTAATAATAATAATAGATTATAAGAAGGTATTTAGTTTTATTAAGTTTATACTAACTTTATAGAAGCTATTAATAAAGCTATCTCTACTTAAGAAGACTTAATACCTCTAGAACTAAGTTTAAAGTAACTAAGTTACTATTAGTAGCTATATATATATAAAAAGGGGTTAATAAAGTTAATATAACCTTAAATTACTATATAGTATATATATCTAACCTTTAAAGACCTTATAATAGTATCACTAACTTCCTAATTAGGTAATTTTATATTAAATCTAGTAAGTTAAGTTTAAATCTATTAATTAGTTAAGTTCGTTATAATCTTTAAGTTAAATAGTTAAGTTGAAGCCTCAGATTTAACTTGTTTAATTAGTATATAGCGCTGGGAAGATTCTTTACGCGTTCTCTGCACCATCGATTTTCGTTTCTTAGTGTTCGTATTAATACCAGTTAGGATAAGAAATAAGTACAAATAATGAGGGGATACATGATTCGGGATGAGACTTGGGCGAGATGATGTACCAGTAGTACGAACGCAATGCGACAGCTACCGCGCCAATCTATCTCATAGATTAATGGTGCAAGTACGGGACAAATTCGAAATCCTCCATGGCCTCAAATCTCTCGAGCATTGATGTTATCTCCCTGCCTTTCCCATGGTCTACGTTCTGATCCGTCATGGCATCTTGGCCTTTGATGTCACCACTCCACCCTCCAAGTTGCTCTTGGGTCAGATGCACACCTTGAGGTGCCATCTTGGGAGCGAACACTATCCTTGATGTGCCCCTGAACCACTCAGGAGTTCCCCCTTCGTTCTGGGCCCCAAGAAGCACATGTGCTGTGTACTTATCTTTAGAGCTGCTGGCAGTATGTTTCTGGGTCCCTCTTACGCCCTCCTCAGTGGCTGCCTCAGGACCATCACCGTCATCTCTAACAACGAAGAAGTGTACCTTGCGGCTTTCTGCGGACCTTGGCAAGAATAGGTTGCCCATGTTGCGGACAACTCCCCTAGGGGACTCTGGTGTTCTGTCTCTCTTCTCGACGTCTTTAAACAGTGGCAAACGGTATACCAGCAGCTCCAGGCTCTTCTCTGCCACATACAAATGATTCACTCCCCAGGTAAGAACTGTCGGCAGGTTCATGACGTCTAGCTTTTCTTCCTCGAAGAAATTCTTGGCAAGTTTGACCGATGTTTGGTATACCATCCGCGGAGGACTTCTAACAAGCTTGCGCTTTGATAGTCGGTGAGTCGAAACGATCAACCTAAGTCCTAGCCGGCTTTCGCCGTCTGTAAATCGCATTTTGACGCCTTGAAGCGACGCCACATGTAGATACTGCCCGCATGAAGAGAAATTACACTGAACCGACACTTGGCACCCTTTGGGTTTGGATTTGCTGACAGTCCGGATAAAATATTTCTTGTGGATGAAATCGGCAAAAAGTATTTTGCAGTCTCCGAGCGGCCATACCAGAAGGTCTTTATTCGGGTGAAAAACCGGCGGCGACGCATAAAGCCGACAGCTCATGCGTTGGCGGAAGCGGAACAGACGTCGTCTTTCATGCTCGTTGGTTCCATTCAGCCTGAAGACTAATATTTCGCATAACGGGCCTTTCACGCCGTTCCTACGATTGCCAAGAAGCAATTCAAGTCTCCTTCGAGCAACCTGCACGTCCTCGTTGGCTTCGCTACGACTTGAGCCACTCGAACTAGATTGATCAGACGCGATGCTGTTGGTGCTTTCATCGCTGTCGTCGCTCGATTCATACTCTGCATTTTGATTGGTGAACATGTCTAAGGTTTTGACGGACCTTAAGGATGAGCTAGACTCAGCTATTCGGTCAACAGAATCTCCGGAGAGACTTATGTCACTAGCCAGGAACTTTTGCTCGACAGAGTCAACATCATTCAACTCATTGTTCGAGCCGGAATCGTAGCCATCTTCGAAGCCTCTCAGAGGCTCTTGGGCTTCGTCAGATTGAAAAGCGGTAGAGCCTTCACTCCAAGAGAGCTCTGCCGAGTGTGTTGAAGATGTTGTGTCGGACCAATCAGAGAATTTGTGACCAGCCTCATCGGAAAACGACGAATGCAGTTCAATTGATTCTGAATCAAACCCCGATGCTTCGAATGTTGCGCCGTCCTCGGGTCCATATTGCGGCCGCGAAAGTGTAGAGCCCGCGGCTGTACTACGACTAGTGGTGGTCGTTGAGCTACAGTCGCTGTCATACTCGCTGTCATCCTTGCTGACCTCGTCGCGAAGAGTTGGCTGTCTAGAAATATTTGGTGTCTTAGGAGGAAATATGGCATCTCCCCTAAGGTCTTGGACAGATATGCGGCCTCGGCAAGCTATTGCATAGTGTCTCTCACTGGACGCTGTTGTCTCCATATATGCTGGAGCATCATCATCGAGGTGGATCATTCGAAAACAAGGCCTCCCGCCTGAAACACCTGAGTAAAGGCGTGATCCGATTCGGAGAAGTCTTCCATCGCGTGTGGCATCCACCATTGGGGCCCTCTCCGGAACGCCTCGCGTCAGTTCTCCACAGTAAAGTTGTAGGTCGTTTCTGTCCACTGCGATGGTTTGTATCCCTAATCTTTTCGGTCTACTGGAGCCTCGTCTAATGGTCCATCGCTCGATTTTCAGCTGCAGGTCATTGGTATTGGGCGTTCTGCTACTGATTGTTAGTGACAGGAGTAAGCTGTTGTTTTCGAGTTAACTTACGGCTCCTCCAACTTCATCAGGTCGATTTCGGAGCCATCAGGGCTGACGCGATCGTAGATGAGTCCATCGTTTTCTGAATTATTCGTTCTGTCCTCCAGGATGAAGCACTTGAAGGCTGTAGGAAACTTATGGAGGAAATTCCTCGCGCCAAGCGTGGACCAAAGACAACGACGAACGTCGCCTTTGAAGGTCCCGCGGTAGGTAGAGTAGCGGCTGAGGAAATGACTCCATTCTATAATGGCATCGTTGTACTCCTTTTGCCGTTGGGCTCCATCTGTATGCTCCGTCGTCAGCCACCTAGGGAACGGCTTGAAGAGTTGGATCTCGTGAAGATCGCCACGTTTGGTATGTCGAATATCAAATTGGCCTAAAGCAAGATCAGACAGTGCAATATGAAGCAAATATGGGGTTTTCTTACGTCCGAAAGATAGGGACTGCACCTGTAGACAAGTCCTGAAATTTGGGGAGCAAACAAAGTCCATGACCATGTCGCCGAGATCCTTCGAGTATTGAAGCTCATCAAGATGCCTATGCCAGTACTTTGCAGCGTACTCAAGAAAGGCGTGACCCTCTATACTTTTGCCGCATTCGGTTGCAATGACATCCGTCTCTACGTTGAGCAGGTGCCTGTACCTGGGTTGTTGTAGATACTTGAGACATCCTTGAGCCAGAATATTGGGAGAAATACGACATGCCGCTTTCTGGGAAAGAATGTCAGGTCGCGACTCTAAGAGCTTCTTCACAGCAGCATGAGATAATGTGCATATCTGCTCCTTTCTTGTGGCTGTGATGTTTTCAACCCGGATTAGAGGTCCGAGGCTGTCTTGTAGTTGGCTCCGAAGCACACGCCCGGCTGGGTCAATGTCTTCGCCCGGCTTTGTCCTATAAATTTCGATTGCTTCACACAGCTCATCAATTAGCAGTGGCCGCTTGGCATGAAGCAAGCAGGAGAGTACATTGCTAGTGATCTTTAGCTGGTGTTTGCTATGTTGTTTTTAGAACAGAGCTCACCTTATGAACTCATGAATGCTGTGAGGATATCTGCTGATCATTCTTTGCAGGTATGTTTCAAAATCGTCTGGGAAGCCCTCCTCGACAATATGAAAGATATGGCGCACGGTGGGAGCCTCTTTAATGACATCAATCATCAAACTGGCCCACAGAAAACTGCCATTCACCTGCTTTTTCAGGTTCTTCAGAATCATGGCTTTAATCGAGCTTTCGATCTCCAGAAATTGAGTCGACGTCAGCGACAGCGTGAGAAATCTCTCGATATCAATGCTGTTGATCGCAGCTCCAAGCTGAATCTCTTCGCTTTCCGAAAGCAGATTCCGTATACTTTGGTTGTCCTGAGAGCTGTACCAAAGTTTCAAGGCAATTTCGGTTTCCTGGGCGGTGGCATTCAGAAATGAGATGATGTCGCTGACTTGATCCCATCTTTTGTTTTTCTTCAAGTCTTCACACTGCTCATCCAACCCATCAATGAAAACAAACGCGCTACTAGCTTCTAGCAGTAATGCTTTGATTGCTCTCTGGAGATCCACCTGCTTTGCAACATCGCCACGGAGCAGGCTCCAGAGGCGCTCCGAAACCTCTCCCGTGTCGCCATAAAGAGATTCGTAAAGCTGCACAGCCAAACTGCGGTATATGTCCATTGGTGTTTCCTCCTCGTCGAAGCTGAAGAAATGGGATGCGATGGCTGCTTTTGGGCGCAGACGTTCGAGCTCATTGATCGCGTGGCTGCAGATAATTGACTTCCCTACTCCAGCTCCGCCTCTAAGCCACAAGACGTTTGAGCCAGAATCAGGCTCCAACCAATGTCTGAAGTGGTAGTCCTCCAGAAGCCATTGGCCTGTACCATCAAGCTGTCGCCCTAGTCGCCGCTTGTGGCGGCTGGCGTTGCTGTCGCTGAGTACTGACCCATGCGCGCCTGCAATCCATGTGTAAACTTGTTTCCGTTTTGCCTCTATAAGAGTCAGTTATGCTTGGAACTCAGCAAAATGCTCGGAAGACTATTGACCCACCTTCTCTGCTCTCTGACATTGTTTGCAAAATCCGGCTCAGTGTGACTTGCGCCTGAGCTCTTTCTTTCGACGCATCTGCCTTATCTCTCCGGCTAAATTGCTCTTGTATGATTGGCAAGTATTTTTCGATGTTGTCAATCTTGGCATTGACGTCTGCGACGATCTCTTCAACCCTCGTTGTATTGAATGAGGTCAAGGATTTTAGTGCCAGCTTGTAAGCCGGCGCTCGGCATTGATCTTCGACCGTGATCCAAAACCGGATGATTGACTTGTACGAAAAGACGATTAGGTCCATCATATCTTCAGATGCGGAGAAAAGCGCCTCATAGTGTTTAAGCCTGTTCAATTGTTGCGCGAGTGCATCGAGCTGTCCCACGAGGCGCTTGAAGAGGTCGCTGTATCGATGAAAGCACTCTATAACGGCCTTGAGGCCTCCCCATACTAACGCAGATGGATACGGATCTGCCTGACACAGGACACCAATGACTCCGCTGTAGTTTGAAACGGCGTTGAACACATTTCTCAAAACTCTTCGGGTCGTACGCTGCGACGTTTCGGTTTCCAATCTTTGAAGCTCTTCATTCACATCGTGAGGTGTCGTCCACTCACCGTCGAGCACCCTCTGGATGAAGGTCGGCGTTTTCCTTTTGCTGTTCGTTGGTCGCGAGATGAACTCCTTCAGAGCCACAGAAAAGGCGGTCTCTGGTTTCCATCCCTCCATATTGATCCTCGATGGAAGTTCTGTCCTCAATGACGAGGAATGAGGTTCGGGTGTGTGTCCGAACGATCATAATCAGTCATTGGAGCCGCGGTAAATATCAGCAATATTGCATAGAATTCAAAGATCCTGGCTATTGTAAAGTCTTAAGGCATCCATGTCCTGATTGCTCCCAGCCTGTTTCGATTTGGCGCCAGAGATTACAGCCTGCTGCGTTTCTGACCACCCTCTCGAGCTTGGCATCAGCCTGCATGCATATTCAACCGCTGTTCCCTGGTTGTACTGCATGTCCACGCGGTAAGCACGCACGAGAGTGTGCTTCGTCCTCGTGCAGATGATGAACGTACCGTGGTCCGCGGCTCACCGACTGCCTTCACGCCGGAATTCCATTTGCAGCAATACCAATTCACTCCAAAGGCTGTCTCTGCGTTCATTTTAGCCCTAGTCGGATGGATGGTTGCAAGAGCACCACGTGTTATGCCACATGAGGTTACTCAACCTTTAATAGCGACCGTTGCCTGACCATCGGTCTATGCACATTGCACATGAGTCACATCGATTCCTGATGTTTATGCGACTACCAGGCCGACCACGGCATCTCTTCAAATTTTCTTCCCTGAGCGCAATAACACTCCCAGCCCCTTACCTGCCTCAAAATTCCCTCCGACGGCTCTGTGAGAGCACTTGTGCTAGTCTTCCTACTACGCATGTTTGGCAACCACTAGCCGAATTTCAGGCACAATGCGTGATGCCAGTGGAAGTGAAGGGAACTCGCCGAAAATCGAGCCTCAGGTGAAGGAGAAAAGGCTTCTTCGCGTGGATCAAGTCTACGTTCGGTAGGTACAGGAAACACAGGCTTGCTGGCCAACCTGTACACGCCAGCGATTGAATTTCTCATGGAAGCTAAGCTCATCTACAGAAAGGATCGCCAGTGGCGTTACATGAAGACTGCCAAAATACACAGCGATGACTTCAAGCTTCGGAAATACTCTATTGTTGTCCGGCGAGTCATTTCTAGAAAAGGGACTGTCACAGATACCAGAGTGGATGTGAAGGGTCACAAGCTCGCGGAGCTGTTGAAAGATGTCCTTCGAGATCTCGGGCAGCTTGAGTTGTCGAAAACTCCTCCAGAGGTAGACTTCCCACTCTTTCACTCTAACACATGCGTACGAGCCTAGAGATCTGACACCTACCAAGCTTTCACCCCGTCAGCTTTATCATGCATGGCCCGGTCTAAAGAAGCGTCTTGAAGAAGAGCAATCAAAAGCCCCCCAGGATGTCGAGTTCATGAAGGATCTCACCACAGCTATTAGCTATCTCGAAACAGACTTCGGAAATGTGGACGCAAATATGCTGTCACTACTGAATCGTGGTCAGATCACGTATGAGCTTCTTTGGGCTCTCTTCACGCCACGCGAAATCCTCTTTTCTGACGAAAACATTCTTCGAGAACCTCAAGCTTACATGTTCTCCCACGGAGACTATGTCAAGATTCCTACACAAGGGAATGTCTTTGAGGTAACGGGGAAGATGCTACATCATGACGGCCGTCGATTTGGTTGGGGCTTCCCGACTTGTAGGATCAAGGAGTTCGTGGGAGAAAAGGCTATTACAAGCCTTCCATGCTTTCCATTAAGCCATCACCATTCCCAAATAGCCATTCGCGAAGGTCTCATCGCCCGCGGTCGCGATTACGTCAAATATGCCACAAATCCTGTCTGTCTTGAGTATCAGGGTCTTGCAGTCACTCAACATACAAACATCAACGGATTGCGAGAGGAGCAGCAAATTGCTGTGACAGCCCGCATTATGGCAGATCCCGGAACATTCAACAATCAGAACCCAAATGACTACCTTCTAGCACAGCCATACGTTCAATCTGATCAAGAAGTTGAGAGTGTCGAGAGTCTTAATGATCACGAGGTCATGCTTAGTAACCACAGGATTCAGGGATTTGCCTTCAACCAAAAGGTATGGGCCGCTTTTGCCATCTCAAGAGTCAAACCCGTCATTTGGAATGAGAAGGCTTTTGACAAGCTTATTCTGGATAAACAACGGAAAAAGATGATCAAGCTCCTCGTACAAGGTCATCAGATACATGAAGCGGCCTTCGACGATTTTGTGCTTGGGAAAGGCAAGGGCCTGGTTGGCCTATTGTCTGGCCCGCCGGGTGTAGGAAAGACTCTCACAGCAGAGGTCGTGGCTGAAATGTCACGAAGGCCGCTTTATGTGATCTCAGCCGGTGAACTTGGGATCACAGTGAACAGAGTTGATGAGCAATTGGGATCAGTGCTCGAAATCACGCGACGATGGGGCTGCGTGCTGCTCATTGATGAAGCAGATGTGTTTCTTCATAAACGAGGAGAAGTACAGCTGGAGAGAAACGCACTTGTGAGCGTATTCCTGCGAAGATTAGAGTAAGCATGACCTAAGAAGATTTACAAGGGATTGATTGACTAAAAGCCCATCAGGTACTTTCAAGGAATCGTGATGCTCACTACTAACAGAAGGAAAGATATTGACCAGGCTTTCAAAAGTATGTATACTCAAAACTGGGGTAGTGGTAGAAGCATTTACTGACTGCTTTTAGGTCGCATTCATTTCAGCTTTCATTATTCGGCCCTCAGCGAGACAGACAGATTCAAGATCTGGCAGGAAATGCTGGGTAATGTGACAGAATTCGTCCAAAGCGTGGAGTTCAGCGACACAGATCTGAGGACTTTGGCCGAAAGACCTATGAACGGACGTGAGGTAAGAAGATCTTAAATTCACAGCTTCCCAGGCTAACCTTCGAGGCACAGATCAAGAATGCGGTTGCGTCTGCTGCATCGATTGTGCGAGCTGGCAAGGAGCCTCTGACGGCGACGTTGGTAACGACTGCGATCCGAAGTTTGGTGGACGACCAGGAGTCGGACGAAGATATTTGACCCTCCTTCTAATTTGGAAGACTTCCATATCGTTGAAAAGATTTCTATCGATGTCGTACAATGACATTATGAGGGTATGGCGTGGGGCAGGCCTTGATGTCGGGTGTTTTCCAAAGTTGTCTCTTCTCGGCCATCCTGATCCCTCTGGTTGATTTCTGGTTTTGAATTCCTCAAGCGACCCTTGGCAGGTCCTTACGTTTCTGATATGGCTAAGTTATGCGTTGCAACCACGACACCTCGCTGCACAACAACTCAAACGTAATCTTTTTGTTTGTTTGGTGCATTTCTGATGATTCCGTTGATGCATTCAAAACTACAGAAAGTATCATGATGTTACGGCACAATTTTGCGCGGCGGATGGGCTAAAGAGGTAAAGAGGACAAGGACCCCGAGCGACAGATGGAGTCTTGGGGCTTTGTTTAATCTTCCCCATCTGATCTGTCAACTCTACAAATACGGGCCGCTCGGGTGTGGCCGGGTTTCCGAAGTTAGTCGGCCGAACACCCCACATCCCGATACCACTTCGATCACCTCATTTAGCCCAAGGCGTCATGTTTTCGTCCGTGTCGCTGCCGGATCTTGACCCCGAGGTAACCGTGATCAGAGTCGTGCGGGTGACCTGCACACCAAGCTTTCCATTTCGCGTGGAATTCTGAACAGAAGGGCCCCCATGGAGCTCTTCTTGCGATTCCGATCTATCAAAATTAGTCATAGACACCCCGTCATCCCGCATCTTGTAATAGCTGTCTGCGTGGAGTCCAGACTTTGATCGCTGCGGTGTGGAACCAGTCGCGTAGTCTGATGACTTCTGGTCCGAAGGGTTTGTTGTCTTTACGCTGATACCAAGCGCGCTCTTCACCTTGCGGGGAAGGCCAGATTCTCTGATTACCTTTGGCAAACAGGGAACGCTGAGGATAAAGAAGCCGCAGGTCATCTCAGCACATGCCCAGAATAATAAGGGGCCGATGAAGTACATTGTGTCCGCTGCTTTGGCGAACGCGATCGTATGGTCGAGACGGAAACAAGCGGCGATCGATGCCCTGGCAACTGTTAGCGAGTAATCCAACAACAGGATCGAGATGCTTACAAGATGCCAACTCCGAAGATGATCGAGATTCCAATCTTTCCTTGCAAATTCATTTGCAGCCCCCAAATGATCCGTTGTGGTAGCAGAACCATCACAATATCCGTGGCAACTTGCACGCTCGCCGACGTAAGCATTACCTTTGGCAGTGCAAAACACTTGCTAGGCACGTAGAATTCCCAGATTGCGTTATGAGGGGTGCACTGCATGTTCAGCAGAATGATGCAGAGTATTCCCCAAAGACACTGGAACCCAACGACGCCCATGCAACACCACCAGAATACACTTTTTCGTTTGTCGCCAGCGGTGAAGATTCGGCACCAGTCAAGTAGGATGGCGGTTTTGATCAAGGGCAGGACGGCTGAGTAACAACATCCATAAACAAGAATCAACTTTCGCGGGTCAGCGGTACGATGCAAATAACGCTTACAGACAACTCACATATAGAGGTTGAATGAGATCTTTGTTCCGAAGATTCCATGTGTGTACATAATAGCCTGGTGTCCAAATCATGCCGTAAGCGGCATACGCCGCGCCCCAATACGCTCCCTTTTGAATATGACAGTCAGCGGAGATATCCATAGCTCCAGTGGAAGGCTTTTCTAGACAAAAGCTTGTTTGTAATACTCACATAGGCCAGAATCATCAAAACTACTCGTTTTACCGTGTTAACTAAACCTCAAACTTTTACGGCGCTGAATCTTGAAAGGGGCGCAGTACCTTCTTCGATGCGGACTTTCTTCTCGATCCACAAACGTGCGTAGCAGCGCACAAATAGACACAGTGTGGCAATCACCATACATGCTGTTGTCACAGCCCAAGCAAGGCCATTTTGGTTGGGCGGGTTGTCGAAGTTCGGCGTGACACCCTCTGGCGGTTCCAGCGCTGGTGAGGCTAGAAGGTCTTCTAGCTCGTCCGATGACAGCGACATGGCGAGAGTTGAGAGTTGGTAGAATGAACGGCAAGCTCTGTCTCTGGATTGGAGGGAGTGCCGCAGACGAAAAGACAACCGGTCATATACACACATGCTACGCGTAAGGAGTCATTGGACAGGCAGAGCCCCGGGCAAGGGTGAGACAGCTGTGTGGAGTTAGCCGGTGGGCTGAGATGTAAAAGTTCAGACGATGGTCGGGCAGACAAAACGTACATAGCCAACGAGAGGATCAAGATCTACACACAGACTTGCCTGTACCGGATTTTGAGCCAAACTCAGGCTTCCTCATCGGCGACGCCTGACTAGTGGCACTTACTTCTGTGTCATCAGCGAAATAGTCAACGACGACCGCGCTGATCCCACGCAACAGTATGATATGTCATCTGAATTCACAAGAGCTTGAGTGGAAGAAAGATCATCGAGGGAGAATAATTCTTTTCCGCTCGCATAGATAACCCACAAGCTCGCTCGCGTAATTTGCGCCTTGTCAAAGATGCAGAAGTGCTTAAGTACCAAGCAGTGAGGGCAGAAACACTTGCAGGAAAGCATCATTTCCTGGTACATGGGAATGGCCCAATTATTACAAGAAAATTGTTTACGGTTGGAGTGTCTTGGCCACCGCGAGCTAGAATTGGAAATTCTTCTGCCCAAAGCGGCGAGTTGCGGAACACTGTTAATGTCAATATGCGTTGCGGGTGTATGGCATACCCCAAGTCCAACGGTCATTCGCATCTCGTGCCATAAAATGTTAGCATACTCCACCGAGACCGACGACAGCTTCATGTTGGCGCCGGGGACGCGACTCAGGTACCAGGTAGAATCAGCAGTTCGGAAGCGGGTTCTGGTCCGCGACCCTTGCACGCTAATGGAAGATACCTTGAAAGAGAGAACTTGCAAGGGGTCCAAAGAGGGGCTCTTCAACGGCAACGCTTTTCAGGATGGCAGAAGGATTCTTGTCCCCGCTTGCCGTTGCGCTTGCCGATTGCAACGGTCAGATTCGGTCGCAGATACTACTTTATGTCCAATTCCCTCATTACGGGCGGCTGTTGGCTCAAGATTCACCTGCTGTATGCATCATTAGCTTCCCTTCACTCCCTACTGACACGCAATTATGACTGCAGGTAGGTGATTTCGAGATCAAATGCCGGCAGCTTTACTGACGTAAGGATGAACCAAAGCCATGGAACCAGTCAAAGTCCCCATTGAATACCCCCCACTTGGGGATCTGCGGAAGATGATGGCCCAAAATCCTGTCCCTGTGATCGCTCCTGGAACCGTGCAAGAGGGTTCCATGGGTGGCGAGGAACCGACAGAACAAGCCCAGCTCGCGTTGAATGCATTCAATTCTGCTTTGGAAACCCGCGATGCCGCTCGTCTTACGGAATGCTTCTTTCCTAACCAGGCCTTTTGGAAGGACCAGCTTGCTCTGACATACCATCTACGGAGCTTCTCCACGCCATCCGGCATTGCTGCCGGGCTTTTGGAGACTACGCAACTGAGGGACATTGTTGGCGGTCTCAGTATCAGTGCCTCAGCTCAGTTCATCCCGGCCACCCCAGTACTGGTAGGTAACAAATACGACATCGGACGTTTGATCAAATCGACAAGTGATAGAAGAGCTAAGTATACTCCAGCAATTCATCGATTGTGCGGCAATCTTCCGAACCGCCTCACCGGCCGCTACCTGCAGCGGTAGACTCATCCTACTTCCCGTCAAGCGCCAGTCCGATGTTTCAAAGGAGAGCATTGAGTGGAAGATTTGGATCTTGAGTACCAAGCTAGAGAATCTTGAGATTCATCCCGAAGATGAAAGTCTTCTCAAGACACCCAAGAGACACCTAGTGGGAGTGGATACTATTGAGTCTGATGTTTTCATCATTGGCGGCGGTAACGCGTAGGTCACCACCCATACATCATTATGCAGAGATCCAAGCTAAGTCTTACTACTGCAGCGCATTTGCCCTTGCCGCTCGTCTCAAAGCTTTTGGAGTCGACAGCGTGATGGCCGAGAGGAACGCCAGAGTGGGTGACAACTGGGCTCTTCGGTACGATTATCTGAAGTTCCATGTGCCGACCACTTTTTGCCAGCTACCTTATTTGGGTAAGCCAGCACACCTGACGCTCACGTGGCGTCCACCATTGAGCCATATTCCGGAGAGCTTGCTAATCTTTTCGTTTCTATGCAGGCTACCCGGATGAGCTTTGTGGGGATCACTTGCTCACCAAAGACGAGTTAGCTGAGCAGGCTCGACGATACGTGGAAGCCCTCAATCTCAATATCATCACATCGGCCAAGATCAAGGCGACCTCGTATGATCAATCGACAAAGCTGTGGACTGTCAAGTTCCAGACTCCTGAAGGAGAGCGCACTGCCATATCGAAGCACCTCGTACAAGCAACCGGAGTTTCATCCCAGAAGACGTACACTCCGGAGATTGCAGACGAGCATCTTTACAAGGGCGTCAGCCTTCATTCGGCGGATTTTAAGAACGCCATCCTTTTGAAGGAAAAAGGTGTGAAGGTGAGACTTTTCCCTTTGAGACCATTTTCCGTACTTGCTGACGCGCTAGCCCCCAGTCCGCTATTATCGTCGGCTCTGCAAACACAGGATTCGATGTGCTGCAAGATTGTCACGATGCTGGTCTGAAGACTACCATGGTTGTCCGCTCACCGACCTACATTGTGCCAGTTGAATACGTTTGCAATCCCCGAAGTCTCGGAGCGTACAACCTTGGTGTCGACGCCGGCGACAGGATGTTCTTGACATTGCCTGCATGCATCGACGGCCAGCTCGGCCGCGGTCTCTTCGCTCAGTTTGCCCTACAAGAGCCGGATCGTTACGCGTCTCTCGCCGCTGCAGGCTTCCCTGTTCTCGACAGTCGCGACCCCGATTGCGCATTGATGCACAACCTCCTTGAGCGCGCCGGTGGGCACTATGTCGATGTCGGTGCTACAAGCCTGATTGCGGATGGGAAGGCCGGCCTCAAAGCGGGAGCCGAGCCGGTGGCGTACACCGAGACGGGCCTCCGCTTCTCGGACGGCAGCATCGTTGACGCGGATGCCATTCTGTGGTGCACCGGCTTTGCCGACAAGAACGCTCGGAAGACTGCTGCCGAAGTCCTTGGCGGTGGAAACACGAATGGCAAGGTCAACGGAGATAAGAACGTTCTCGGTCCAGAGGACATCGCAGCCCGTCTCGATGCTACCTGGAACCTTGATGAGGAGGGCGAGATCCGTGGGGTGTGGAAGCGCCATCTAAACATGGAGAACTACTGGATCATGGGTGGATACACCCAGCAGCATCGATGGCATTCACGGACCCTTGCGCTGCAGATTAAGGCAGCCCTTGAGGGCGTACTCCCCTCGGCTTATCGCGATACCCCGACTCTGAAGATGTCCGCATAGAGTAGATAATTATCATCCAAGGCCAATTAAAGAATCTTGGTCACCGATGTTTTACTACTCAATCGTTTCTCGGAGCGGCTACGTCGGTTGTTTCCAGTCAGTCAGGCGGCATTCACACAAGCTTCTCAGGGGCTCCTCAGTTCTTGATGTGTGTTGGCGGGGGCGGCAACACATGTTTCTTTGACAAACTGGGACATGATTCCATGCGCAGTTTTCTTGAAGTATGTATCTGGCATAGACTGTTTAGCCTTGCCTTTTTGGGGCGATGAGAGGAATCAATTAATATTGCCGCGAGAATAACCCCTTGATTCCGGTCTCTGCCCCTGGCTTGTCCCAGATTTTGCGGAGCTTTGCGTCCGGGTACTGACCTTCCACCATCCCATGTTCCTCGGAGACGCCTCTTTATCAATGAACAAGAGATATTAAAAAAGCGAAGATTGTAAAAGGTACTATTTGGTACTCGTTGCTAGATTTCGGTTGCCAATGCGTTCTTTTCTGAGTCTTCGGTAGTTTTGCCAGCACGACCAGACTGATCTTCATCAATGTTCGGCCGCTGGAGAGCCATTCCGTTCGGCTTGAGCCAGGTATCAACGGTCCAACCACTCAAAATGTTCGACTCAACTGCAGCCCACGTCAATAACAATGTTATTTGTTGCTGTAACGTACAGTAAAATTCCTCGTGCAGACAATTCCCTGCGCTGGCTCCGTCTTCTGCAAAATCAACTCTTCACTGTTTGTATCCGAGGGTACGGCCGGGGGGTAAACAGATGTCATTGGGTCCCCAAAGTTCCCCATATAGCGCCCGGCATGAATCTCGGTTGTGGTCGGTGACATCTGTTGCTCTCTGATATGTATTGCACCCTTCTTCTGTAGCTCGTATTCGTCCTGCAGGTTTCCTTCGTGAATCACAGTTCGCCTTTTGCTATTGACTTGGGCTTTACTACCACCCGTCTCGGCGCCCAGTGGTGTTCGACCGCTGTGGTTGTATCTCTCGTAGCTGGGATAGTAGCCAGCAGAGCTGTTGATCTTCAAGTAGCGACCGACGAGAGGTTTGAGGAAGGAAGCGCATGCTGCTATGATGCCGATATTGAGTTGGAGACTGCGCAGGCCCTTGTGGTTAGCCGCAGAGAACTTGAGACTCGATGTTCCATTGCTCGATGACCTACTTCTGCCAAAAGTGAACCCAATAGTCAAAGATAGCGTCAGGGGCGCCGCCGGTTGTAAGCATAAACACGGCTTTGAGGATTCCCATCAATACAGCGCTTTCCATTGATGAACGTCAGCACAGACGGAATGTTGTGATGGGACACACTCACAAATATCCTAAGTTGAGGATTGCTATCACGTATATCCTGACTCGAAGTTTCATCTTCAGGCTCCAGATGATCGGAATGGGCAGAGCTCCCAGGCAGACGTCGGTGAAAATATTGCACGCTGTGGATATGAAAATCAGTCTGTATTACCTAGCTTGGCAATGTGAAGACTTCAACTTACATATGTTCCAGTATGTGAGGTTGAGGAAGACATTGAAGTCGTGGCATCTTGGATCAAATGGATTCATCCATTGGAATTCCCACCATCCCGAGTAAGGGGTGCAGTAAACAAACAGCCAGACTATAGCTTGGATTGAATATGCAACAACGAACCCTGTCAAAAAACAATACCCCGTCAACTTCCTTTCAAGCGGCTAAAGTTGTCTTAGGCATCATACCCATCACGGCGTACAACGACCACTTGTACCAGTTGAGGTCTCTCTTCAGTCGGAGCAAGGTGTATGCCATGGAAATTCTCAACAATCCCATAGCCACTCCATCCGAGATCACTGTCTTCCAGAAGGTGATTTGCTCGAATTTTATTCGTTCGTCAACCGCTATCGTTGTCGCATGACGGCCGAGGCCGTGTGGTATCTGGAGGACTAGGCAGATCCACGATGCCAGTGCTAGAAGCTTGGTTCGAACCTAGTCAGCTGAGGTGCCTCAGGTACTTGTACAAATCTTTCAGGGTGGGCGTACAGCAGCGACGACAATGAGGGCATCATCTAGACCAAATGCCCTGAGAACGACAACTCGGGCGTAGATACGCAAAGAGACGAAAGAGAACGCTAGAAAGTGAAAGGCGCCGACAACGCCGACGATTCTGGCCGCATTGCTCTCGTTTGCGTACTCGACGGACTGACCGTCCATTGCAGCAGTTGATCGGCGAAGGGGAAGGGATGAAATTGATGGCCGTGCTTTCGATGGACATGTCCCAAAACCATGACTATCCTGCTCACAGTGGGTCTTTGACAGTTTAAAAAACAAGGGCAACTTCCTTCTCCCTTTGCACACGCCAATCCTTTTCATCGCAAGACCATCCCGATGAAGAACCAGGAGACTTGATCCGGAAGTTGATTCTTTGCGGACTCGAAACCGTCTCGGTCACCACCCACTTACCAGGATCGAGAGAGGAACAAGCTCTTGTCCTGCCGAAGGATCCAATCAGGGCTACAGGTGTTCACTTGGAGCTTGGAAAGGGGCTCCACTGTATGCAGTGTGGTGAGTGAAGAACGCCACCGACCTGCAGATGTGTATCGGACTTGGCCTCGCAGGTTGCATGATACATCATGAGTTTGACCATGCCATGGAAAGATCTCTCTCGCAGGAGATGAGGACTACGTAAGTGACAAGCCGCAAGGGCGGAAATACCTGGGCGCCACACGTGTTTATCCCTCATTTCAGGCGATTCGACGGGGGACATTTCCCAGATTGGCCTGTCCAGATTCATGGATCTGATTTTGCCACAGGGGGCTGGCACGAAGAAGAAAAAGGAGGGTTACCACGTGGTAACCGTCGGTGAACAAGAGCATCGAATCTCTCATGCGAATGGTTTCCGTCAGGAGCAATGATCCGCTTACCACAGCAATCTAGAATATTTCTCCTTTACATGGCGCTTTAGGGACGACTTCTCGTGAATGCTGCGGATGTCTTCTTAGTCTGTGGCAGCTTTTAAGTGGGCAGTTATACCTCTCGCAACATGTTCCTGGCGAGAACCCCGGGCTTTTGGGGGCGGTTTTCGCAGCTCAAAACTTAAACAGCGAGACGTTTTGGTCCGGAACCGCAACCGGATATCCCGGGAGGAACCACGGAGATCGGAAGACAGACGTTGCCACCGGGGAGGTGGACCGATGTGGCATTTTGACCCCTGCATTCAATCCCAACACAGCCCCATAGAAGGATGCGATTGAATGCGACCATGCGTGCAACTGTAGTGGTGGTTCGATCGTGGGAGATTCTTCCTGTTGGTCACCGTCGTCCGACACCTACGTGTGATGTGTGCGGTTCCTCAATCGCAATTTCCGGCGTGCAGCGGCGATGGTCCCAAAGGGCAGGATCCAAGAGGCACAGCAGTGGCCAAGACTCTTCGGCGTGGGATCCAAACCGAAATGCGTTCGCGACTGCTTGGAAGTGTACCGCGGTAAATGAATTCCACGCCATTGCTCATGTCGGCATACTGCCGGCATGTGTGGGATAGCGAAAGAGGCGGATTGGTGGTGTAAGTCGACTACCGGCTTGATCTTTAAAATCTCCGTGGTCCTCAAAAGAGTCACACTGCAGCAGTCACAGGCACATCCAGCAGCGTGCAGTACGAATGTGGCGTTTCTTGGTCGGCATGCATACCAACAAGATGCGTTCAGCTTTGACCCTCGTGGCCTCACTCCTCCTTCAGGGAGCTCTTGGTGCACCAACATGCAGTACCCAGACCATCTCTCGAGACGTTGTTGTCGTTGGTGGTGGTGCGGCTGGTGCTCATGCTGCCGTATGGCTGCGCGATCATAACCAGACTGTGGTTGTTGTCGAGAAAGCCTCCCAGCTTGTGAGTTTCTCGAATCTTTCTGCTGTTGTCTGCGTTTTGACATTGGCATACAGGGCGGTCACACAGCTTCTTACTATGACCCAGTGTCAAACAAGTCGATCAACGTTGGAGTCCAAGCTTGGATGGAGTACAAGAACACCTTCGACTTCGTTCATCGCATGAACGTATCAACAAGCGGTTCGATGCAGTTTACAACACTTGACTACAATTATGTCGACTTCAGGACGGGCGAGCCGACAGACTTTGCTGCACCTGCATCCGACGACATGTATCCCGCCTTGCAGAGATATCTCGATGTCATTCTTCAGTATGAGGACATGGTCCTGCCCGGCTTCGAAAACTTCCCTGAGCCAGATGATATTCCTGAGGACTTGTTGATGCCTTTCGTCGACTTCGTTGAGAAATACAACCTTGAGGCTGCTGTTCCCCAGATCTGGGACTCCACTGCCCAGGGCATCGGCAACACCATGGACGTGCCCACCTTGTTTGTTGTGCAAGCGTCTGGCATTCCTATGGTTCGCGCTCTGTTAGGAACTGGCGCCGCCGCTGTTCCGGCTTCGGGACGTTTGTACGATTTATACGAGGCCGTCGAGGAGTTCTTGGGCGATGATGTGTTGTACTCAAGCACCGTCTCCTCATCAAGTCGAACCGAGGACGGTGTGTCCTTGGAGGTCATTGGAGCTGATGGCAAGTCGACTTGCATAGAGGCCAAGCGCCTTCTCATCGCCTTCGAGCCTACAGCAGAGAGCATGGCACCTTTTGATCTCGACGAGACTGAGTCCGAGGTCTTCGACAAGTTTGACTTCGCAACAGTCTATGCAGGCATTCTTCAGCATCCCTCATTGCAACTCAGCACGGCCTATTCAAATAGGTTGCCTGAGACCGGCTCCAGCAACAACACAGTCTTCCCGACTCCCTCTCAGGTCGGTCGCATTGACTACCTCGGCGGAACCCAGAATCTCTTCCAGTTCACGGCAGTTGGCACTGAGAGTGATACCTCCGAGAGCATGAAGACACTTATTGGCCAGTCCATTGATACAATGATCGAGGCCGGTACTATTCCCGCTTCAAACGGCACGCTCAGCTTCGCTGCATTCGCAAACCACGGCAAGATGCACCCGCGCGTTACGGCTGATGACCTTCGTGCCGGTTTCATCCAGAAGCAGGTCGGCCTTCAGGGTCACCTCTCCACTTGGTATACGGGAGCTGCCTTTTCCGCGGGCTTTTCGACTGTTGTATGGGAGTATAATAACGTTCTCCTGCCCAGCTTGGTAGCAAGCCTCTAATCATTCTGAGAGGTATGGTGTCGACAAGGGAAGGTTTCCCTGCCATGTGTCATGGAGACCGGTTTATAGTTTCAAGGGTTTTCCCCTTCATGTACATATTTTACACATTAAGACTTAATTTGGCCATGAAGCTTCATTCCATAAGCCATTCTAGTCGGAAAGATAACCGCATCGATGCATTGATGATAGGTGCCCACTGAGTGGCCGTCAAGAGTGGCGGGGCCATCCAATCGCGATCGCGGTTGGGTACGTCGCCGGTCTGCCAACTCGTTAAGTGGAAAAAATGTGGTCAGTCTTTGTGCCGCGGTGTCTGAAGATCTGTCAACCTTTTCACCTAGCCAGGCCCATACTCTGGTCTCTCGCGAGGCTCTTTCCTGAAAATGAACAAAATGGTACTAGACGTAGCATTCATATCTCATCGGTGAAGTCCCCACAACATGCATTCCGATGCCGCCACATGCACAGGCGGCCGCGCGCCGTTGCGCTGCAGAAATCAGGACATGTGGAAAAGAGACTCCGCAGTGGAAACTGCCGCAACTTTCCACTTAGAGAGGCGTTTGCCGCGTTCCCCGGTTTCCGATCCTCTTTTCCTATCCTAAATAGGATGTGACTCCGATCTTCCCTTGTTGCATTCTTGTTGGTGGTCTCGATTTCCATCAACCCCCGCTAATGCGAACCAACGGTTGACAAGGATGATATGGCCTGGCCGTGTTGGCGCAGGGGTTTTCGGGAACAACAACGGAGGTCTTTCGGACCAGATTTACTCTGCAGGCGAATTCACATTGATTTTCAGAAGAAACTAGTACGTAAGATTCATCGAAGGAGGGTCAAGTAATGAAGTAAACATGCCGATAAGCTTGGCGAGAAGAACATACATTGGGTGAGGTAGTGCGACAGATACAAACCGTTCGGGGATTGACTCTCATATGATGTACGATGTTGATGCTAACTAAGTTTTTGTTGATGCCTCCTCTGCTTTCTCGCAACATGACAGCAGTCATATCCATGGATTGTCAAGACGTTTGATTTTTGAAAGTATTTGGCGATGTGATGGGAAACGTAACACAACGAAACGATTCAGCATCAAGATTGGTTCCAGCTAAGCCACCTGCGTCTTCTAGATGAAAATAAGCTTCAATGACTTGTGTGTTCAATTTCGATCTTAACCCTCTCCCGCAAACCTTTAGTGGCCACCACATAGTAGCTGTCACCAACTTGATTCTCAGGGGCCTGGCATTATTTACCCAGTCACGTTGGCTCGGCTGCGTACTCCGTGCTACAAGCGCTCAAGTCAAACTCTCAGAACTCACATCAACTCAAAATAATCGGCGTCGATGCGGGGTTCTCATAGTGCCCAGCCGCGTCATCCCACCCGGGGCCCGGGTCCGCTCTTCCTGCAGTTTGGCGACGATCTAATGTGGGAGCTGCTGTAGTCTTGAGAAAATCGCCGAATGTCATGCAGTGTTTCACTCATATTTAACACTTCTGGTTCTCTGATAGTACCCGCGGACCACAGATGCTCACTCTTTAATCATACGACACTCCAGCATGTCTACTTACGAAGTCAATGGCAAGTTCGCCATTGTCACTGGTGGTGGCTCAGGTACGTAAATTTCCTAAACCCTGGGACAAACTTTGGATTGGCATTAACTCTTCGTCCTTTTCGCAATAGGTATCAACCATGCTTTCGTTCAATTGCTATTAGAAGCCGGCTGCTCGGTGGTCATCGCCGACCTCAAGCTCACAGCAAATGCCGAGGCCACAGTGCAGAAGTACTCAAAGGAGAACGCCAGCTCAAACGGAGCCTACGCTATTTTCCACAAGACGGACCTCGTCGACTGGAGCCAAATCAACTCCTTGTGGGAGACGGCACTCAAGACGTTCCCTCAGGTCGATATCGTTTGCAACGGCGCAGGTCTCTACGAGCCTCCTTCCAGCTCCTTCTGGACCTTGCCCGGCGTCTCTCCCTTAGCGAAAGACGACGCCAACGCCAAGATCGGGCAGTACCAGACCTTCAGCGTCAACACCATTGCCCCGATCCGCTT